TAAAATCTTCACTATAGCCTTATAGTGAAGTTGAGATCTAAGACATAGAGTTCGTTATAACAAGAGTTGACTGTAGACACTATTTTCCAGATGGATATACTTATAGTAAAAGAAATCGTACTTAATGGAAAATATTTGTAAAAATAATGTGTGAAAAGAATAAGTCAGCTCATATTTCGAATACAACCCATCTAAAAATTACTTATTACCATTTACTTTCAGATAAAAAATAAAAGTATTGCAGATATATTTCTGAATATAATACATTTAGATTTCAAAAATAGTATAGGTTTTAGTGATAGAGCACTATTTATAATAGCAGAATCATATCCTAATTTAAGATATCTCAATTTGTGGGATGCTCAGATAATAACTAATAAAGGGTTATATGCAATTGTAGAATCATGTCATAATTAAAACATTTAAATATTTCTTACTGCAGAAATATTACCAATAAATCTTTGTTTGAAATCACAGAAAATTGTCATGATATAAGTGTTTCATTTTGCTGAAGCACGTCAGATCACAGATAAATCTATAAGTTGCATCTTAAACTCATATTCAAATTTATGAAAACTTGATATTGCATATAGTAAGAGGGATATCAAAGATACTAATACTTTAATGTAGAGATATTTTAATATAGAGTATCTCAACTTTTGTGATGCCATAGCTTTATGGGATGATAGATTAATTATAGCTATCATCAAAAGATCTTTGAATTTAAGACATATAGAGATTGGCTGTAATAATATTACTGATATGGTTACTGAAGCGTTGGCTAATACTTGTCATAAATTAGAATATCTCGATCTGTGTTGCTATAATTTTATTAGTGAGCTATCAATTTGTAATGTAATACGTTCTTGTCCAAAGCTCCAACATCTTAACCTTAGTTACTGCAATATTATAAGTAAGACTATCGAAGAAATTGCTCGCTTATGTCTCAATTTAAAATCTCTAGATTTGAAAGGATGTGAAAATATTAGCAAAAAAGCCATGGACCAGCTAAATCCAAATATTCATATCAAAAATTTTGATAAAGATTACTGCTGTTCTGATTCAGAATCTTCTAGCTCTAAACTGAATCAGAGTCTAAATAATTTAGCTAGTCCAAAGCGTGTTGAGACAGATTTCATTGGGTTTGAAGCCTATATACTGAGAAACTTGAAAATATAGTTCAGCCATTATACCAATAAAGCTTATCTTTAAAATATGTAGATTTTTTGGCTGATCGTATCCTAAGAATACAGTTTTGCAAAATTATTATATATAAAATACTAATGGTCACTCTGTGATCAGTGACGCAGTTTATTTAACCACAAAATTTTGGCCTGATTTAAAATTTATAATCATTGTAATGCTGGCTAAAATTAAATTTAGCCAGAATTTGCAAATCATAATGTTGCATGATTCACATAGTTCACGTTAGGGCTGATGATATTTGGCATTTCACAAAAATTCACATATTTCACAAAATTATGTGATAAACACATTTAATACCTCTGATCACCGCATAATTTCACAAACTTCTCAGAGGTTCTATATGAATTACAAAAAAAATTTTTAATTATTGATTTATCAATCTTTTTTTACTTTAAAAATGTTGTCTAGAAAATACATTAAAACTAATAAAACTATAACTGTTTATATAAGAATTAAAGAACATCTAGACGTTTTTCGTATTGAAAATGGTCTTTTGTTTTGTAACTATTGTGACCTTTCTGTGGAATAGAGACATAAGTCAATAGTAGATTCTCATTGTTTAGGAAAAAACACTTAGCGCAAAAAAAAAATTATGAAGCTAACTAAAACAAAAAAAATAACTTTTCATGTAGCTGATTCCAAAAGAGAAGTTGTAGAAAATTTAATTCAAGCATTTGCAAGTGCAAATATTCCATTAGAAAAAATCAGTCACCTTCTTCCTTTTTTTAAAAAATATCTTAAAGAAGGAGGAGCAATTCTTCAAGCTTCAACCTTATACCAATTATATTTACCTTCTATTTTTAAAAACTATGTAAAACTTCTTCTTTCAATTTTTAATTCAAAACCCATTTATATTATAATGGATAAGCTTAGTAATGATTGTGCACATCGTGTTGTTAATACACTTTTTGCTTATCAAAATACAAAACTGGTTTCTGTTAATTTTTACAACATGTTAACAATACAACTATTGGACAAATACTTCTTCCTATTTTACACTCTTATAATATATCCCTTAGTATTCCACGCTTATTTCTTTCTGATTTAGCTGCGTACATGAAAAAATGTTTTCGCAAAGTTTTAAAGTCAGCTATGTCTCAGCTAATTCATGTGCCATGTCCAGCACATATATTAAATCTTATTGGGCAAGAATTTTGCATGATTTTTTTTAAATTGAAAATAAATTGCATATTTTAATGAATTTTTATAATAATTAATTTAATTAAAGAGACTTGGAGAGATTTATCGCAATTTTTACAATTAAAGATTTTTTTAGCTAAAATCAAAGAATCATTTGTCAAATCACCTGCACGAAAAAACTGTTATATAATTTATCTTAAAATAAATGGCATTAATTCTCCTCGCAAAATTCCACTTTCAAATCAAACTCGATGAAATAGTTGGTTCAGAATGGTGTTTTATGCGAAAAATCATATTTAGTATTGGACTGATTTTTTTAAACATGAGTATGAACAAGAATCACAAAATGAAACAATAAAAACGATCTACACAACATTACAAGATCCACAAGATATTGGTATTATTACAATTTATATTTACTTTATTTCAATTTATGCTAAAGAATTTGTGCAAGATTTGGATTTTTTTCAATAACAAAACAAGCCAGTTTTTCCTTTTGTTGAAGGTCGATTACAGCAACTTACAGCATTTATTGATTCAAATATTAATGCATCTTATTTTGGTTCTGAAATTGAAAATATAATTCAACAACATTCTTTTAATCCCGATCATACTTACCAAATATTTCGTTATGCTTTTCAAATAGCATATAACAAGTTTTCAGCTCACATTCCTAATCATCCTGCACGCTCACTTTTTTATGCATGTCAAGTTTTTAACCCGTGATATATTCATTTAGGAGATATTCAAAGAAAGAATATTCGTCATTATTCAGCAATTATAGAACTTGATGAACCTTCTGATAGTTTACTATGTGAATGGGCAATATATTGTGGATTGGAATTTAATGAAAATTTGGATGAAACTAACTTAGATGATTATTGGAAAAATTTTTCTGTTAGTTTACCAATTCTTTCTAATATCGCATTAGATTATATTTGGTTACCAATCTCAAGCTGTGCAGTTGAACGTAGTTTTTCCTTATATAATTCACTTTTAGATTCTAATCGTCAAAGTTTATCTGAAGAATCATTAAAGCAACTTAATATGTTGTATTATAATTGATTAAATTTTACAAATTATAAATAAATAAATTTTTTTCGCACATAAATTCACATATTTTATTAAAATGTGCCGCAAAACTACACATAATTGATAAAAATTTGTTATCACCGCAAATCACAAAATTATTTTTTATCATTCACAAAATTTACCATTTAGCACCACAAAAAATCATCGGCCCTGGTTCACGTCTGATCGAGTTACACCAACCAATAGAATTTGTGATTAAAAATGCGACCAAGCCTACGCGTAACGTAATAATTTGCTATTTCCCACAACTTTCGATTTGCCTACTTTTGCTTGATGTCCGTGAAACCTTGTTTAGACCTGGTAAATCTATATTTCGAGAGTACGCCTGTCTCAGAATGGTCGTATATGGGATTTTTAGAAGCACTGAAAACTAATTGTGTCTCTGAAGTTCGTTCGCTGGCTGACCAAAAATCTATATGGAGGAAACGATATCTTACATATTTAAGTAACGTTCTTATCGAGGAACAGGATGGTATTAGCAAAGAGCGTGTAACTTTTCTGATTCAACAGGTTTGTCAATTTTCTCTTCCGCTTTATCTCTGAACCATCAAGGGTGAGATCTGCGCAACCTGTAAGGGGTATCGTCCTTTTTATGGCATGGGGTATCGTTCCTCAGCATTGTATTTCACGGTCTTTTCTGCTGTTGCATAGCTTATCGTCCTTCTCTGAGTATGGGGTATCGTTCCTCAGTGTGACAGTTGTGGGGTATCGTTCCTCCAGAAAGATCATGCGAAATAACATATTGGACATACCATCTTTATTGATATTTACTAACCGCATTTTATTTCTGAGTTTTTAGAAACGTCCACCCGAAGAAGAAAACTTTTGGAATGGTGTCAAGACTGAAAAAGATCTAATGGTAAAGGAGGTGCGTATGAACGTTGATTAAGACTCCTCAAAGTGCCAATGACTTTGGTTGCGTTCTCATTGAAACCCTTTTTCTAGGATATTTTCGATAAACAATCGCAAATTGACGCATTAAATGTGCTTGAGGCTACTCGTAATCAAAAAGCGAAGAATATGTTGATAAAGTTAATTCACGCTCGTCGAAACGAGTTAAGATGGCAAAAGGAGAAGAAGCAGATACATCATTTGGACATAAGCGATCATACGATGAAGAATTACCATCAACTTCGTCAAAAAAGGTCAGGACTCAGGATATAACTTAATTATTAACCCGCAAGAACTTCATCTCGTTTTTTCATTTGCATACAGATCAGTACTTATGGAAACGAAGAAGAGTTGGCTGAAGAAGATATTACTCAAGAAGATGTTCTGAACTCTGTTTCCGAAGTTTCTGATACCTTCGGGAAAACCAAATTCCCAGTATATTACGAGAAACTCAAGTCGATATGGCATACTCGAGATGCTGAGGCGAATTATTCTATTATTGATATGGGAGATGAGGAAACACTAAATCAGGTTCACGAACTTTTGAGCGATAATGAATTGAATTTTTTGTCTGAAAGGTTAAGTTTGACGGATGAGAATGAATGTATAAGTACGGAGGCGCGTAGGTACATGACACTGTTTGATGAGATCATTGAGGAAGGTAATTATGATGATGATATAGAAGGCGAGAATAATGACATAACTGATGAAAGAAACAGTGAAGAGTTTGAGAAAGCCATCGCAAAAATGAAGGGAAAAGTTCATCAATTAGACAGTCTATCCAAAAAATTTCACTATCTATCTAACACCTTTCCTATTCCAGCGGAGAGTTATGATCAATCAGAAACGCCCGATATTTTTGTTATTAAGAGCGTCTCTAGTCACCTTGATACAATCACAAAAATGAATGGTTTAATGAGGAATACTCCTGAACGTACATGGACAGCTCATGTATTAGCTTATCTTTTTTTTGTCACATTTTGTTTTATTGATTCATTGCAGTATTTCTCATGTGAACGAGATATTTCTACCAAGATCGATGCTCAAAATAATGGGTATAAAGCTGATGGTGTCTTGGAGCTTTTTGAGCGACCAAGGCAAATTCCTTTATTTTTGCTTGAGGTGTCGGAAGGTCCCAATAATCCAGACCCAGATAAAATTAGTGGAGATAGAAAAAAGTTGATGAACGAGGGTGTTTTTGCTCTTAATAAGTTTATGATGAGCACCGAGTTACCAGAATTTAAAGTGTGTGAAACGTTGGGTGTCTTCCTGGCTCAGGGATTTGGTAAAATTTTTTAAATATTTTGATCCTGCAGGTGTTTCTTTGCTTCGAACCTAATATATTTCTTGTTTATTTGCTTGTAGCCGATAAAGTTGAGATTGGACAAATAATATTCATTGGGCCCGGCTTGTACTTTTTTTCGCCGTTTACAATCCCAGCTCTCACCATCCCAATTTCCAACACCAATCTAGAACATGCACCTAGACTCATCCGAACACTCTTGGTTTTACGATACAATATTATCAAAAAGATTGAGAAGTTTAAGGAGTTTGAAAGGGAAAGTCAGCAACGCATTGTGAAGCCTAGAATCAAGTATGCAACTGGGGTTACACCGGGACGATCTAGAGTTGTTACCTTTTCACAATTCTTACCAATAGTATTAAAAGAGAATAGTGAAGTGAGTAGAGGGAGGGGAAGGGGAAGAGGGAGAGGGAGAGGGAGGGGAAAAGGGAAAGATCCTGTATGAGCTGTAATCTGGTGTATTAGTAAAATTTTCAACAATCGATTTCAACATTAAACATTGAAACAAATTGTCTAATAGTCTTTCGTAGTATAATCTTTTGTATTTTTTCACTCCATATTTGTAATAAGCCACAAATAAAAAATTTGCATTAAGCGTGAGAAGTCTTATAAACAAGCTTTATACTTAAGTTAAAACCCAATCATGGTAGGGAAGGGCTCGTGCTCTTGTCAAAGGTAAAACAAAATTTTCTAATGCTTTTGCGAAAGAGGGAAAGGGCTGAGAAAGTCTATAAGCTTTTCAATATAGTATTGGTAAATCAAAAATAGCATGAATTAGATCTTTAGCCTGCAGGGTGATAACTTTTAAAATACTCTCGAATAAAATAGCTTTATAATTTTTTTCTGCTTCACCCTGAAAAAGCATAGCTTCGAATATCTTCTCATATCGGCGTCTTATTTTGCATGTAATATATATGCGAGAAATCGTTTCAAAAGTCACATGATTCAGATCGTTACCAATGGTAACGGTTTCCCCAAATTTTCCGTCTATAATATTTTGAATTTTAAGTAAGGCCGGACCAACTTAATTGTTTGTTTAACATAACATAAGTTAGTTAATTGGGGGGGGGGGGGGTAAAAAAAATACATATATATATATAATTTTTATATTATAATATATTATAATATAAATTTCGTATGAAGATTTACAGTTTATTTTATTTATATTAGTTTGATTAAATATCAAACAAATCAATTTTTTATAACATTTATTTATGTTTATGACGTTTGATAGAATGTCTATTGGTTTTAATCTCCCCTTTAGTATAAAATTCTTTTCCATTTTCTTGACATCCTTCACATAAAGGATAAATTTGTTTAAAACGTTCTTTTAAAGATTGAGGAGGAGTTACCAAATCTTCTCTTTCTCCACAATAATAACAAATTGAATAATTGCCTGATTTATAACAATATTTCAATTGATGAGTCACAACTGATTTGAGTACGCACAAACACTACCTCTTTTAAATAATGATCGTCAGGAAAGATTGGTGCACCACAAGAATATGAATATGAATTTAATGCTTGTTGATAATCTTCTTGTTCCTCATAAGTCAAGGATTTATCACTATATACACAGCGACGTTTTCCACAATCTTCACAATAGATATAATCACGGATTTTTCCTACAACCAAAATAGATTTTGGAATAGATTCTACATTTGCTTGTGATTGCATATATGTTAGTCTATGTTCTTCAGTCGTTTCAATTCCATAAACACTTTGAAAAGTTGCATAATGATCTATATTGTCTAATTTATTTTTTAATAAAAAAATTATTATTTAATCAATATTAAATATACAAAATACAATAGATTATCTTGTGAAGGAATTGGATCCGGAAGAAAACTCAAATTATGAAATTCATCTAATGGAAGGTGAATTGGTTTACAGTATAAACAGGTAGTATTGTTGCATTTTTTTATCTTAAAATGATTATTAATAAATAAAAATATGAGAGGATTAAACATTAAAAATATTATTAATACATACCTGAAAGCTATAAGTATGCATACGGCAATGAGTTTTCATATATTCAATTAATATAGGATGATGACATATTTGTATTTGTGTAGTTTCTTCAATTCTCAAAGTTGAATCTATGTTAAAAATAGACTATTTGAAAGGTAAAAATATAAATATAAGTATAAAAATAAAATAAAAATAAAAAATATATAAATAAAATAATAAATTTTACTTCAAATAATTTAATAATTTCTTTTTCAGTTGTTGGATTGTGACATTTAAGTTTTTTATCTTTAATTAAAAGTCATTCTGTTCGATTCTTTAATAAATTTTGAACATCTGCTATACTTTCTTTTAATTCAAACTCTAAATCACTAAATTCTTGAGTTTTTTTTCATATATCATCCAATGTATTTGTTACATTAAATAAAGTTTCAGACTCAGAGCTCATTTGATTATGCTTAAGTGCAACACCTTGAAGACCCAAATTCAAAGTACTCATAACTCATTCTACAGGATTTGTCTAACTATAATTAGGAGCTATACGAACTACAACAAATAAATTAAAATTCTCACGAAGAAAAAGACAAATCAATGCAATTTGTACTGAACTATAGTTACACTAATGATCAGGACCTCCATCAGTATAAAGGTATAAAATCAAAGGTAATATTTGATGTTCATATTGAATATTAAGTGCATTTAAAAACTCTGCTGAATGTCGAATAGCATTACTTGGTTCAAAAATTGTATTTTTGTAAGATATAAATACCTGACCACTATAAAATGATTCAGAAATATCATTAGAAATTGAAATAAAAAATGTGACAGATAATGTTAAAGAAAGCTTAGTAAAGTCATAATCTGTAACAGCCAAAATGCTATCTTGAGTAATCATAGAATGCTAATTTCGTATTCCTATAAAAACTGCAACATCCTCTTCAATAGGAATTTTGTGTTTATCATCTGCAGATATTAAACAAGTCCATTGATAGTATTGAATGCAGAATTCTCTAAGATATCGGAAAAGTGCTACATAATAATGAGCATCATCACTATTTTTTCGAAGTAACCAACTTTATACTTTAAATTTCATATTAAATCGACCAGTATAATATATTGACCATATTATAATAGCATTTGTAAGACAAAACTGAAGATGAATTCATTCTTCAGATGGAATATGAATAGTAGAAGGAAGGGAATTATTATGGATAATATTTAACCTTTCTATTATAATTTCATGAAGATCACGAATAGATATAGCTAATGGCATGTATAAAACAGTTCCATGATGCCATTCGTCTACTGCAAGCAAATTCTATAAAATGAACTCATAAATTAATAATTTGTCAATAAAAATAAATTATAATAAAATAAG